ATTACAGCTCATGTAATGGCCTGACCAGTTGTGTGGATATCTGCTTGGCACAACTGGAGAACTCATCAATTGAATAAGTGGCTTGATGCACTAGTGGCAAACTATTATTTGTGTCACATTTGTATAAGGTTGTGGACAGATCATAAATAAAATATGTGTACCTATATGTAGCAATGGCAAATGACATAATGGATGATGAAGTGAAGCTATTCAGGAAGAATCATTTCTTATCTCAAGAAGGAACATGCCCAGTGATCCCTTCCTGGACATTAACACAAATGTTTTGTCTAGTATGGATCTGTCATATCCTGTATTCTGGACCTACATCCGACGATGATCCCACGCCTCATCTGGACCTCCGGACCTCCTGTCCATGTCTCCAGACCCAATCCTCTATCCGTCCGGATCCCTGTACTCCTGCATCTGATATCCACATCTCCGGATCTCTGGATCCAACCTATGCTTCATATCCGAACCCAAACCTTAAATCAGCGCTCATCCCCTTATGGTAATCACCTGTCTCCGGACCTCTGAACATCTGGATCTGACCTGTGTCTATCTTCCGTGCCTTTTCCCTTTGTATGTTCCTTCTCAAGTTAGACTATATTCATTTTCCTTACCTCATTTCATTTCTGGCTTTATTTTACTATGTTCTCATTTCCATCTTCATTTACTATTTTCCGATAGACTAGTGTTTGACTTTCCTATATGCTCCGTCCACAGCCTCACATAGCTTTGGACTGCACTGACTGATTCTCCGTTAAGTCCTCAGTAGTATATAAACCCCAGTAGATACTCCTGTATTTCCTTAGTCTGAATATTACACATATTAGTCCTCGCACTAGATCTCACTTTAAGTCCTCATACTAGTCCTAGTCCCCCAACTTAGTCAACATCCATCTCAGGCCTGGGGAGGAATCCCTAGGCCAGAGCTCCACTCCTCTGCTCCTCCGCTGGGAAGCAAATGAGAATAGGAACTGAGAGGTTTCGAGAGTTAGCAATGTAGCCTAAATTGTTGTGATAGATTGATTTACCTTGAAAAAAAAATTGGGGAGATGATGATGAGTGTTAAGACCATGCACAAAGGGTAGGATTGATTCCGAGGGGCTTGGCTTCAGCTCGTGCGCTGCGCCCCTTACCCGAGTAGGTGCCCTTAATTTCAGAATGATGTCTGAAGAAAGTCCAAGGACGTCCGAAGGATGTCTGAAGCACAGGAAAGTTTGGAAGGACTTTCCGGATGAGTGCAAGTAACTTCCGGAAATTACGATGAGGTTTCATCCTGATACGGATACTTGTAATGGCTACTTAGGACAAGTCCTAAGTAGAAGCAAACAAAGGAAAGGCTGCAAGGACAAAGTCCAAAGCAGAATAGGTCCGGAGGACCACGGGAAAGTTTCGGATGAACGTCCGGAAACTTCGGAGGATCGGATAAGCGGAGCTCTGGCCTAGGGAATTTCTCCCTAGGCCTGAGATGGATATTGGCTAAGTCAGAAGACTAGAACTGATATGAGGACTTAGGGTGAGATCTAGTGCGAGGACTAATATGATATTCAGACTGAGGAACTACAGGACATATACAAGAGTTTATATACTAAGGAAATAACGGAAAGATCAGTAAGCAAGCGTCCGAGGCTATGTATGAAGCAATAGCAAAGTTATCAAGCGCGAGTCGGAAATGAAGCATAGGTTAACGGATCAGTAAGTGTACCGGTAGTAAGTATAACCGAGATACCGAGGACAAGGAATACCGAATAGAGGAATAGGCTGTGTTAATGTTATATGCACAGGAATGAATTAAGAAGCTTATCGTATATCAGATTGGAAGCGGATCTATACATCGGACCGGATCGGATCGGATGTCCAGATGAGATGCGTGGATAGACATTAGGGTGATGGGACAAAGGATGAATGATGTAGGCTGTTAAGACCATGCACAAAGGGTAGGACTGATTCCAAGGGGCTTGGCTTCAGCTCGTGCGCTGCGCCCCTTACCCGAGTATGTGCCCTTAACTTCAGAATGAAGTCCGGAGAAAGTCCAGTGAAGTCCGAAGGACTTCCGGAGAAGCGTGGGAAACTTCGGAAGGACTTTCCGGACGAGTGCGAGAAACTTCCGGATGAGTGCGGGAAAGTTCCGGAGGAACTTCCGGAAATTACGATGGAGTTTCGTCCTGACGGGGATATGTATAATGGCTACTCAGGATGAGTCCTGAGTAGAAGGAAACAGAGGAAAGGCTGCAAGGACAAAGTCCGAAGCAGGATAGGTCCGGAGGACCACGGGAAAGTTCCGGAACCTTGGAGGATCGGAGGAATGATGGATTGGAGGAGCGGAGGAGCGGAGCTCCGGCCTAGGGAATTCCTCCCTAGGCCTGAGATGGATGATTACTAAGTTGGAGGAATAGAACTGTTACGAGCACTTAGTGTGAAGACTAGTGCGAGGACTAATATGTGTATGATATTCAGACTGAGGAAATACAGGAGTATCTACTGGGGTTTATATACTAGAGGCAAGTCTGTGCAGATCAGTAAGCAGAGGGGTAAGGCTATGTACGAGCATGTGGAAATGTATTAGAAAATAAGACGGATCATAGGAAATGAACTCGGAGATGAAATGAGGTACGGAAAATGAGGAAGTCTAACTCAAGAAGGAACATACAAAGGGATAAGGCACGGAAGATAGACGCGGGTCGGATCCGGATGTTCGGAAGTCCGGAGACAGGTGATTACCATAAGGGGATGGGCGCTGATTTAAGGTTTGGGTTTGGACATGACAGATAGGTCGGATCCGGAGATCCGGAGATGTGGATATCAGATCTGGCATCCGGATATCAGATGCAGGAGTACAGGGATCCGGACGGATAGAGGATTGGGTCTGGAGACATGGACAGGAGGTCCGGAGGTCCGGATGAGGCGTGGGAACATCGTTGGATGTTGGTCTGGAATGCGGGATATGACAGTATCCCCCCTTTAAGGCCGAGCCCTCGAGGCTGAAGACTCAGGAAGTCCGGAACGGAGATTGCTGGTATATGGCAGAGGACAATGATGGATGGATTCCGGAGGATTGTTTCCTATGAGCTGAAAATCTCCGGAGGTTTCGGAAATGTTCCTGACACACACATGGTTCATTATGATGCCTAGTACTTTATCTGGAAACTGGACGTCATAGACGGTGGTGCAGAATGGTGATGTGATGTGAGGACAAATAGGTTTCCGGAGTGGAAGTCTGGAACACTTCGAGGATAATTCCGAAGGTAACTGGAAGTCCGAAAAATGCGTGGGAAAATCGGAGGAAGCTTTCAGAGCGGAGGAGGTTGTATCAGGACAGTGGAAATGCAGCGAGTGCAGGACAAGAGGGCAAGAGTGGATGCAATGCAGGCCTCTTTCTGATGTGACGGAGGAGTCCTGTGAGACATATCTTTCTCCATGAAGCAGAGCTTGTACTGAGGTACAGCTAAGGATAAGTGCATCATCGGAAATCCGGAAATTAGCCCCTATGACCGGAAAATGATCGGAGATGTAATCGCATGATGACTGATGAACTCCCGGAGTGCAGGAAGTGAGAAAGGAGTGCTATGAGGCATGATTTCCTTTGTACGGAGGTCTGAGGTTTAATGGATTTCGATCTGCGATGTGTGCTATCACTCGAGCCGGAAGTGTGTCAGAGGAATCTGCTGGATATGACTGTGAGCTTCCGGAAATTAGCCCCTAAGACCGGAAATGTTCCGGAGCTTTGGTTGCACACTGCGAGAGGTCATGGGCGGAGTTTCCAGGTGCACTGAAAGTTAATGCAAATAGCAGGATTTTGCACCCGGTGCGAGGCTTTTGATAAACATGCATGGTGGATGGAAATCCTGATGATGGGGCGGATGGATCCGAATGGTCCGGAGTAGGGCTATGGCGTGGGAACCAACAGGAGTTGGACGGAAGGATGATGATAGCGGAGGAATGGGTCGGAAACACGGAGATCAGAAACACAAAGGGTCAAAAACGCGGAGGGTCGGAAATGCAGAGGAAGGATGGGAGTGCAGAGAGGATGTCTTTCCGGAATATTCGATATCCATTGGTACAGCTGCTAGAGCAAAAGGATAGCTTGTGTATAGGCTCATAAAGGACGGAGCAAGCTGTTTGATGGGCCGGAGTCCTAATTTTACGCAGTGAACTGAAGCAAGACAACTGAATGCTACATTCTCTGAGCGGAAATTTCTGGAATTAAAATTGGTAACAGTTTATATTTATGAAATTAAATTTTACATGCACCATAACCTCATGTACTTGTAAGCATAGGGTCGTCGGCAGCCTTCAACCGGACTTTCCGAGGCTTCGAGCCATGAAACGGCAACATTATCCCATCAATACTAGATAAGTAAGCACGTGTGATCATTGGCAACGAGGTTATGAAGAGAATCACCTTGATACGGCAACCGTTCTTTCAATATTTGTGCCTGTGTCTTCGCCGACTCCACGGAAGAGCGACACTGTAGACCTCGCAACAAAATTGTATGATGTAAGTTTACACGACTAGTCACTGAGGCCTGAGGTATTCACAAGTTCCGCTTTGGGTCTTTACAAGCTCAGACATATATGCGGAGAATTAGTATAGTATCGGGTTACGTCGACTTGCCATGTGCATGGGCCCTAAAATCAAAATTAAGTTTGCAGAATATGAAAGCAACGGTTTATGCCCCTGATCAAGATTCGATAAGCTGCAAGGAGTTCGCGCGCCCGAAGAACTATACCTGTCGGGCCGTTAATCATTGTGTATGTAGATTTCCGTTAGAATTGTTGCCGCTCTATGACGCAGCGAGGCACGAGCGTAGTCTTAGAGTTCCGTCTTTGGAAGAGCGGAAGAAGCCGGCGCTTCTTCTTTTCACTCTTCCACCAGTAAGATCTTCGACGAGTCTATCATCGAGCTCTTTTCTTTCTTCCGCTATCCATACACCGTCCATCCCTAACAGCATTATCTCTCATTTATAAAAACAAATCTATTCCCTTTTAATCTCATCATGGCCCGCATCGTGTCAGACCCGGCACTGGACATTGAGCCAAACTTCGCATCTGCCACTTTCGAAGCCATCCGCAACCGCATCATTGGAAATTTGCAACTTACTCACGATGAAGCAGCCAATGAATTATCCAATGGCTGGAAACAAGACCGTGACATCCGCTTAGTCGCCTGGACGGCACAATCCAATGAAGAAGCGCGACTGGCAGCTGAAGCAGCCCAGGCTGAACACGAACGTGTGGAACAGGAGAGACTCACCCTCGAGCTAGAAGCTGAGAAAGAGCGAAGAGAAATGGAGAAGAAAAAGCCGAAGATCAATGACTTCAAGGCAGGTACCTCTGTCGGCGACTCCCTTACTCACCGCCCCTCCCAGTATGCTATCCACAAGCTCAAATCTTACGAGTACGTAGAGCTCTGGTACTTCAGCCCAGAGGGCTGTAAGAAAACGGCAGACGAAGCAAAATCATCTGCCGACAACACTTACGGCTTCACAAAGGTTGACGATTTCGTCGCCTTGAAACCGGTCGCATCCTTCAAGCCTTCCCGCAAAGTGATCCAAGACCATAGCCTCGAATGGCGGCAATTTGACATGGCTAAAAACTGCTTCCTCCTCCAGATCAACAGGCTGGGATGGCCTGAGAAGCACCAACGCGCTATCACAATGTTTTTCATGAACATCATCTCCCACCCTCAGCGAGCTGAGCCTCTTGGTGAACGATCGCTTCTGCTATACGCCGCGCGCGTACGCAGAGATTGGCACGACACCCTCACTCTCGACAACGCATTCGACATCAGCGTTTTCAATTCAACCCTCCTGAAAAACCTGGCCGAAGAAGTGTGGAACAAAGTCCGTTTCGAAAGTCTTGCCGAGGTTCGTGTTTCTTCTCGACCCACAATACCATGTCGCTAATGTTTGCCCAATTTCTCTACCAAACGCTCCCCGCTACCTCTATACAATGCTTCCTGCTCCCATGCTACCACCCTCATGCTCCCGCTTCCAAAACTGCTTGCTGCCACCCCGCTACCTGCTTCCACCTGCTTCCTGGTCCACAGCTCCAACTGGCCAGTGCGACGCAGAGCAGCAGCCGTGAACACCAGACCCCATCCCAACGCAACCAAGCTCGCGCACCCATGTGCTCCACTCACTCCCGCTCACGATCCCCTGCACGAAACTCATCAGGGCATCCAGCTCCTCGGACCACGACACCCAATCGGAATCAGAGCCTGAGGGCATGGATGCTCGCTTCGGTGAATCCGTTATGATCCACAACTTTTCATTGAAGCGCTAACATATATCCCCAGATTTATGGCTCGGTGGCACGTCCGAGCCCGTCTATGAGCCCACTGCTCAAACCTTCCAGGGCATTTATTTTGGGGAGCATGTGCCTTCAAGTTCTTCAGCCGGACCCGACGCGCAACTGTCCGTCTCCGTTGTGCAGGCTAACCAAGCAAAGGACAAAGTAGAATGCACCTGGGACGGGTGCTCGGCAGTCATAAGCAAAGATAGCCTCACTCGCCACGTCAAAGAGGTGCACGAGGGGAAGATTAAGGCTGTTTGTACAGGCTGCGGAAGGGAGTTCAAGCGCCAGTATCAGATGAATGAGCATATCCCTAGATGTAGAAGATCCTAGATTGTTATTTTGTACGTCAAAGTCGCTAGCTAGACCCGCAATATGTCCATTTGAATTCCAAGAACGAGGACCAGGCCTTGTTGCACTTGTCGATGTCATTATGGCTGCTCTCGACGAGTTTCCCAATTCCATGCTGCTTCAAAATGAAACTCAGAGGACGGCTGGTTGGAAGAGAACGAGGAGCCAGAGATTCAGTGTGATCCGAATGTACAGGTCTTGTGACAGTGACACGAGGGTACTTGCTGGTAACGAGGACGCTCATCTTGATGCTCCTCGATTGTTGTACTTGCTATCAGAGAAGCCAGTGAAAGGGACGAGCAGTGGACCCCAGCAACAGGATACCACAGTTCCAATATCTTTGCAACGCGGCGAGGGACCTTTGCATAGCCCTGTAGCTGGTCATGATGGTGCTATCACCTAGATTGGGTAATGTACTTACAATATTTGTTGGTGTGGTTTCTTATGAACATGATGCGATCTACTCGGGGATGTTAGTACTTTAGTATTTGCTTCTACAAGGCCACCTTGGTGGACGAAACTGCAGCGTCGACGTTCGCTTGGCATGGTCCCTGATGCCTCACCACCGCCCACCCAATTGTTCGGGTGCCTAAATATACGCCCTATCACCGCAAAAGTACTAGGCTTGAAAAAGTTGATTGGAATCGTATCATAAATATGACTTTATTAGGCAGGTTGGCGTGGGGTTTCAAAAGCAGTTGGGGTCGGTAAACGGGTGTGTCTTGTCGTGATACCTCGACCTCAACAATATTTGACAGTAGCAGCCAGGACCTGAGCCCCTTCTTCGTCGTCATTGAAAACTGTGAAAAGGTATGCCTCATCAACATTGAGAAACTCAATATATTTACAAATGTATTTCAGACTCTATTCTGAAATATTTTGCCTATGAAAAGTCATCCAGTACACTCCTTGGAGATGATGATCGATTCGATAATCCCTTGGAGGTGAAAGATTACGCCAACGACGAGCCTCACAGCAAGCGGCAACTCAGCGGCCTTCATTCCCATCGATCCACATCGCCCTTTTGAGTTCTCAGTACTCTTCACACAGATTCATTGAAGCAGTGGAATTAAGGGGTGCGTGTGTTGAAAACTTCATCTATGAAAGTCTACATTTCGGTTGGGCAGATAAGGTCCTCTTCAAATACAGGCATGTGACTTCCTTGTGTACGCACCGTGCATCTCAAGGTACTCAAGATATCAACAAGATATGATTGCAAGCTTGATCTCGATGAATCTTGGCTCGATCATGGACCTGCCCTGACTACAACGAAGACGTCGATGGGATGTCTATTAGTGTCGACCTAAACCTTTGACAAACATTCATGGTAAGCTCATTTTGAAGTGATGCGAGATTCCTGCTCTTGTAGTCACACTCGAGGCTATTCAACGCAATAGAATTCAGAATTTTTATGGCTATGGAAGGCCAGTACGACCTTGGACATACCGGCAGTCAAAGTTAAGCTTTGAGTGCAGGTCCGACAAAAAACGAGCACGGTAACGCCAGTACAAAACGCGCCAGCTCCCAACCTGAACTCGTTCCAATCACCTTCCTTCCAGAACTACAAACGCAACGATTTATGTGATGTGGCGTTTTTAGTTGCACAGTTTGTGTAACAACCACGTACTGCAGCGCCAGATGGGATATCAGCAACAGATCATGATATTATGATACTTACATTACAATAGTCTCGTTTGACAACGTAATATTCTAGTCGAGGACTATTTCTGAACGATCGCCGTTGCCATTCAATACCATCATTCAGAGGAAGAAACACGGCACATACCTTCCCATACGACAGGTGTCTTTCCCTGGGAAATCAGTGCACCGCGAGTGGTCTGTGCGAACGTGTCAAGAGCATAGTTCAGCGTCATGCCAGTGCTGTTGAGCTACTGCTGCGCTAGGTAGTCGTCAGCATAAAAGTTCTTGCTAATTTCATCGCCCTGATGCTCAACTAGGAAGAATCTTTGCGACGTCAATAAGCAAGGAAGCAGCAAAGTTCATGACCTCTGAGAATGCAAAACGACGCTGGCCAGCAGGGGGCTCGTTGGTGAAGTTTGTCCACTGGCTAGCGTCGAAGCTCTCAGCATAGTCAATGTAAGTGGCCACAATGATAGCAGCATGGCCGCGTGTATCGATTTCCTGGTCGAATGTTCAGTCCATTGATCGATGAGTACTGACCATCATAACATCGATACCTCTCTGCGGGAACACCATCAGCGAACAAATAACGATGATAAAGGGAGACGTACTGCAGCAGCACACTGCACGATGTATTCGCTGCGTAAACGTCTTGAGGAGAGCACTATGCACTGTTGATGGTGAGCCCGGGATACTGCATAACTTCGAGTTCAAGTCAGATGATAGCCTGGGACAGAGAGTTGCCCACTTATAAGTTATACCGAATCAAGGGTTGCGGTCAATATTATCATCATGTGGTCCTGACTATTCGAGAATACAGGACTTGGTTCAATGGTTTTTGTTGCACGAGCATAAGAAGTCAAGTCCATACAGACAGACATGATGGTAAGCCAGACTCTAGAGATTAGTCGGGAGATGATGTATCAGGCTGAAAGAGGTAGAGTTGTCCTTTGATGTGTTCATCTACCTGCTGAGAGGACAGTCTACAGTCCTTGATAGACCGGCAATTCAGAATAAAACCCCAATGGCTATCAATGATTGCGAGAAACCGGATGCCACGGTTTTGTTCCAAGAGAAATTGTGACCACAACTTGTGCGCTCGCTTGAACTGAGAGTAGGGTGGCTTGCCCGTCAATACCTGGCGCAAGGGTGAGACTCAGCGTTGAAGGAACGTAACCTTGGGCAAATATGCCCAAACGAATATACGTCGTATATTTGATATCGGGATCATGATTGCGCCTTCTTTGGGAATTGTAAGAAGTTTGGGTGCTATCCACCGCACAGTGCCATCCAGGGCAGACGTAAAATAAGACGTGCCCACGAACTCCATCCCAGTAAGATTGCCCTGAACAGCGAAGCACAAGTGGACTGAGGCAAAGAACCATTGTCGACCATGCTGAAAAACTGAGCAAGTCACCTATGGTGTTGAAGACCCGCAGAGATATCACTGAGCTGCGAAGGCATGAGTAAAGTTTCAGACAGATCATGTAAGACATACCAGTTGGAAACGATTGATTATGAACACAGTTTGACCATGGGATTCCAGATAACCTGAAAGCGATCCGTTGTCATACCAGGGGCAAACCAAGGCAACGAATTGGCCAAAGCCTGATACAGTGCCGTACAGTGGGACAGTGTATCGTGTAAGTCTCGATCAAACCTTGAGCTCTAGTGCTTGAAGCTTGATTCCTGATCGACTTCACAGCTACCTGTGACTTTATCGAACTTAAACATGAAAATAGGGACGCACTCACTACGATGATGCTACCATTCCTGTCCCATGTACATCGCCGGATGTCACTCAGGCCTCCGAAAGAAGTGGCATGAGAGCTCGTGCGATTTAGTTAAATCTGGCAGGTTATCGAATCTGAATCAAGTCAGCGTTGCTGCCGTAGTGTCTGGTCGAGGTCTCACCGCCTTGTTGGATCATTTAGATTTGAGTGGGGAATTGACTGGAGAGAACTGATGGGAGATACTCCCAGTGACGTTGCCCGAAATTCGAGTGTCTGAAGTATTTTCTAGAAAAGTTGGAGCTTGTGTTTTCGTTCCACTGACTTATGGTGTGGTGAAAAATGTTGGATATTGAGGTCATTTGGAGGTCATAGTAATTAAGATTCGATGTTTGTTATTCTGTATATAGTACATGAGCAAAACCCGAAAGGATGGCGGACGCCTAGGCTGTTGCGTGACATTCGTTCAGCGTGTCACGCCGGTATCCGTTCATTCAGCCTTTCGTACATGTACCATTAAATCTTTGCTCACCCAATTAGCTTACCCACACGAAGAATGTTGCATGCACCGGTACATCCCTGATTTTACCCCATCATCACTCTCAGGTTCGAAACCCGAAACTTGAAGTAGAGTCACCGTTGGCCTTCAAAAGATCTGTCAAGCTTTTGATCTATCCGAAGGAAATCCTCTCTTTGACGGCGCCGACTTCAGGGAAGACGCGCCCGCCACATGATTCGCGTAATTTTGAATTTATCAGTGCCCAATCTTCAAGTTACGACTTGGCCGTCTCCGAACTTCTCATGCGACGTGGCTCTTTCCTTAACTACCTGACTTCTCCAGGGAGTCATGGATGCCAATGGCAATTTTCACGCGCATGTAGTCACGGTAGTGTCCATTATCAAATGAAACTTAACTTCTGACCGATTACCTCAGGCTGCGCAAACATACAATTTGGTCACATCCTGTGAAGGACATGTGCCTTTGTGATCTTTGTCGTGTCGCGTCGGCCGCACCGTTCATTTACATAAACTCGCTAGATGCACCCCTCCGTGAGCTACTATTTTGGGGAATGTTGGTTCGTTGCACGCTTCGGCTAGCAATCACGTATTGCAGCACCTGATGTGATGTCAGCAATAATGCCCGTCAGAAATTTGGACAACACAAGTTTCACCTGCCAGGCGAACATCGGACCATTGCCTGTTCAAGCGGTGACCTGCGAGTATGGAACTTGAGTAGTGGTGACCAGATAGGGCAAGACTAGTGAGATGGAGATGACGCACTGTAAGTAAGCCACGACGTTGTCCCCTGACGGGAAGATGCGGGCAGTGGGAATAAGAATATTGGATACCGAGAGAGGGAAGGTGTTCACCCGGAACGTCGGTGAAGTGTTGTTTGTCCGTTAGAGTCGATGTTTAGGGTTGGTGGTGAGTGAATTTGCTAAACGATGAAATAGCAAGGGCGTAGGACGCCGATAATCATTGGAGACGGGACATTCCTACGTGAGTACAATCCCAAACCCAAACCCATGGTTGATTCCATTGGCTCTTAGTGGCATGCTGTGACTGCGAAGACGGTCTCGGCGGGTTTCGATATTGGACCTCAAATGTGATCATCCTGATTCTATGCAGCGTAAAATTGTTCTCATTTTTTCTTCTCAAATTCTGAATGCTGAAAAGGTTGCGTTAAAGCGAATGGATCTGAATTGGCAAGACAAGGTAGTTTGACAGGTTAACGTAATCCGAACTAGAGTTTCGGCGGTTTTCTCAGAACGGTTCAGGAGATCTCAGTCCAGGGTCTCGCCGTCTCGGTTAATATGTCACATGTCGCATTCCTCCAGCCTACTAGTAAGCTTTGTTGCTCCTGGGAAACGCCAACCTCCGCCGTACCGCCAGTGGCTGACCCGAACCCATTTTCCAGGCTTGCTACTGGCGGTAGAAACACTGGTATGGTGGCTTTCTTCGTAACCTCGTAAGCTCATTGGAATGGGTTAATCAGACTCGCCGTTTCAGTTGCACTACTACACTGCGCAAATCAGTTCATAACGACCCGAATGCCGCATTAAGATAGTTGCTGTTTCAGTCTTTGCGTGAACTATCTATCGGATTGGACCACGCGGCAATCTATAGCTCGTCTTGGCGTCTGCTTGTTAACGCCTAGGATTGATCGATTTCCATTTTCTACGGACCTCGGTTCAGTAATGGACCGGTTCTACTCTGAACCACACACAATTTGTATGTTGCTATGATACTCTTACATAAAGCTGCGTGATATCGTCAGTGAAAACACAGCAACAAGTTTGATGTAGTACTACCACCATAAACTTGGGGAGTTATATACAAGGGTGGTGCTATTTACAAGACCGGGGTTTGGGATACGCTAGTAGGCTACTAGTTTTGGCTCTCTTTGATCCAATTCACGATGTCTTAAATGTTATGTGAACGATAACTCACATTAGCGTCGCCGGTCGGTCGTCGGCAGCCTTCAATCGGAGATGCTGAGAGGTCACCCGGCAAGCAGCGCCCGGTTACTTACTTATGAGACGGAAGTATGTCACAGTATCGACATGTCAACATGTCAACGTCTCAATTTCGGTGCAAGGATCAAAAGAGAGCCAAACTGATATTATAAGCCTGATCCCATGAACTGGCAACTAAATCCAACAATTGAATCAAAACTGGATAAGGAGGTGCGTGGAACACTGCCCTCTATCGCACATATGCCTCTTCACAGAGCCATGTAAATATGCAAGAAACAATATTAGGTTCTTATAGCCCGTCATGAGCGCTGGATGATAATTGGACGATATGAATTAATCGCAAGCTTAGTATGAAATGAATGGAGTGATCCTTGTGATCTGATTTGTGAATGTCGGAGATAAGATATGCGGGTGGCATGCGTGGGCCAAGGTCAGGATCTTGTTGTGACTTGGTATTGTTTTGCTTTATTTTTGGTGATTATATTGCCATGGTGTCAGGCATATTGTCTTGATTTTTGCAGTTCCTGTAAGGACTGCATATGCTGGATTTGACTTGTGGCTGGCACATGGATTGGAGGAAGATGTGTATCTGATCCTAACTAACTAACTAAACGAATACTAAATCCGACAAGGGTGGGCGGGCGGGAATCATATATATACTTTTTGATGTTCAAGGCAAGGTATGCGGATGGTAGATTTAACTAGTGGATGTTGGAGATAAGGAGTGCGGATGCTAGATTTTACTTGCAAATGCTATGTAGGTTACTTGCGGTATGGTGTATATCATAATTTTTAGCGAACACGGTGTTCCTTATGATAGGAAACTTTGATGGATCGTAAAGGTTTGCATTTTTCAGGTTGTTCCTGATGGATAAACAAAGTGTACCTAGTTGGCTTGTGTGTCGTCATGGTCGGCATTAGCCCTAACGTAGACCACGCTCCATCTTAATGTTATGTCCTCCCACGCGTCAAGACCGCACAATCACACTCAACCTACAGGAAGCAAACAGGCCCCAAACAGAAATATAAAGAACCGCGCAAAGGTTGGCAGGACCTTCTTGCATCCATACGACTTCCCGTGCCAATCAGAAAATAAACTCAGTATTCAGACTGAAGCCGCCTTTACATATGTAAGCTTATATTTTGTTGACAGAAAACATGACTTAACCTTTGAGGTCTAGACCAATGCAAACAACCTTCCCATCGACGACATCTTCGCAGCTGGGGCAGGCCCCAGATCAACATTCAATGAAACCAATGCTGCAATCATATCTTGAATGCCTTGACCGACACAGTGAAACATACGCACACACACCCAACTTCACCGCTTCGATTATTGATAATTGATTTAGTCTTCTCGAAGTTGTATTCTCTAGTGTACCGATGTTTCCTGAAGGCCACCCGAATGCGATGACTATGATCATTGGGGCAATGAATGTATGAAACCAATCCGGAACCGCACTGAGGTCGCAAACTCCGACATTCGAACGTTCATCCTCGACCTCATTCGCCATGGAGCGCTTTGACGGAGGCTTGGTCATCCATTAGCGATTGAACAGGGAAAGTCCTGGAGATAGACGCATAGTGGATCTTGAAAGGGAACACAAAAGGTAAAACCATAACCATGATGCACAGCAACAGGAATAAGATTCAATTAGATATGGCTGTTTCTCGCGTGATGACATCGACATTGATTATGAGAGAGCATGCAGCTGAATTGTCTATTCAATTGTGAGGGGAAAAATGGGGAGCATGGCCGAGGACACATACTTATTTGGATTCAAATGCTGACTTGGAGCGCTGACATGCCATGGCCATGATTGGGATGCGTCCTGACGGACGTTGATGAAATAAGCCGGCAAGTAGCGAAATGGTCGAGTGCTCGGAAGGATCCGGTGTGTCTACAATTTGTTTTTCACAGCTGCAGTCTCTATTATAGCAGGGTCTGGCCATCACAGCATCTTGCAGTAGGACGTACGTTCGCCATATGTTGTCATACCTACACTGATTAGATTTGCTACACCGCGCTCTGCCCCTAGTGAGTCAAGGGTCCGTCCGCTTGGAACTCTAGTCAGCAATGGAAGGTGAGGTCTGTCATCAACTCATTCTTATGGCTTACTATGCACAACTCGAAAATAAGGCGACGACAAATCATTCATCATTTTAGTACTAGTGCGTCGCTAAATTCCACTCTCAGACTTCATTCGCCCTTGATACTAGTCAAATCTGCCAGGATATACGGAAGCGATTTAGAAAGGGAAGGGAAGAGCAAGGCGAGTACTCCGGGGTTGGACTCCCTGCTGGTGTACTGAATGTAACGAGACTGAGTAGAGCAATGGCATTGAAGGATGGCCGGGGTCGGATCACAATAACGTTGTGCCAATTTTTGGGATGACGCTTGGATTTGGCCCATTACCAGCCTAGGTATGCCCATGGATAGAGAATACTTTGACATGTTACTTGGAGCAAAAACAACATCAAATCACTGACTCCGAATCAACCCGAAAGGCAATGGTGAGCGGCCATCACACTTACTCACCCTATTTCACGGGACTATACAGCTCTTGCAAGTCATTTCCGCAGTTCTTTATCGTACGCATTGACTTTTCCTCTATTTCTTAAGTTCAGTAGGAAACGCTTGCAAGTGCTAGTACAATCTTTTTTGATCCTGCACCAAAATTGAAATGTTCCCATGTCGACACAGTGACATACTTCCGTTTCAGTGCCAGTTACACTTTAAATATGTGGACGGGAGCTTCGAATGCACAGAATATGCGAGCTTCGATTGCGCGGGATGGGAGCTTCGATTGTGCGGGACGGGAGCTTCGATTGCGCGGGATGGGAGCTTCGAATGGACGGGAGCTTCAAACGGACGGGAGCTTCGATTGCGCAGGTGGGAGCTTTGAATCACGGAATATGGGAGCTTCGATTGCGCGGGACGGGAGCTTCGAACGGATGGGAGCTTCGATTGCGCGGGATAGAAGCTTCGAATGGATGGAAGCTCCGAATGGATGGAATGAAAGCTTCGAATGGACGGGAACTATTATGTACACGATAACCTCGTACATGTAGTATAGGGTCGTCAGTAGACTTTTTTCGAAGTCATTTACACGGTAATTCATATCTCAGCCTATACGCGTGGCCGGCCTATCGGAACACATTCAGTTCTCACTTGGGATATCAGTGATTAATATTGATGGTTCCTGCGGTTGGCCCCTTCGGGCCCGGTGCACTGGCACTTATGCATGATTCCCCCCTTTCACAGTGGCATTGCGGTAATATTTAACGGTGGATTCGAACCAATAGGGTGGATTCTAGCGGATTGTCCTAATGGAATTCCATGTGGTTGAGTAAAGGCTGCAGACGTAATTACCTATTTATCGCAGATTTCATGAAAGAGAACATACATATGGACCGCCATGGCTATGTTTGGAAGTCGATTGGGAATGGCAATATCAACCAGTATTGATGGAGAGCAGAATTTCGATGCTTTTGTGTCCCTGCTATCTGCCCTTGTTGACATCATGAAGCACGAGTACCAATCGAAACGATCCTTTCTTGTTACAATACAATTCTTGGTTAAGAAGGAAGTCACCGCGATGGAGACCGTCCAAATGGAGCTACCACGGTAGCTAGACACATCCTGATAACCTGGTTCAGCAAGTTCATAATAGTACCTGTCATCAGAGAACTCACGAGTCCGTGACATAGTAGTAGCCGTGGCGACTATAGGATGACATAATTCTGCTTCTAAGTATGTAGTCAGCCAATCAAACATCGTTTATCGTTTATGGAAATTTATTTGACTGTCATATAGAAGCAAGCAGGCCGCGCATGGCTGTTCCCTGGAATGATCTGAATCTATGATAGGTGGCGCATGACTGTTCCCTGGAATGATCTGAATCTATGATAGGCCGCGCATGGCTGTTCACTCTCCAGTGGTTTGAATCTATAACAGGTCGCGCATGGCTGTCGACTCTCGAGTGATTTGAATCTATAACAGGTAGCAGCAAAGTTCACAAGGCTGGAATGGCAGGCGATAATTACATTTTGCATCTGACATGCACTTCATTTCCTGTAAGCTTGCCAATTTGGTCCCGTTCAACACGAGGCAACTCATTAAAAGTAAAACACTCAATGGATCAGCGTACTACCACACTGCGCCTGCCAGATGCGCCATGGGCACGAAGCGCATGATAAAAAGGGCTTGGTATGATGTTCCATTTTGTGATCAATTTCCCGACTCTCGCAAAGGATAACAAGGGTTCCCTTGCTTCTGTACTGTTTTACCTGTCGCCTAGAGTCTACAGATGGATAGGTTAGGCGCGCACCATAAATTCATCCAGATCAACACGACAAAACCTGTCGTCCACATGGTCAGTACAGGCACCTGATCAACACCCAACAAGACTAGTCCGGCAGTCATATCTCGAGTGCCTCGACCGCCTCTACAGGTTAGAGCGTCACGTGCACAAGGAAATCAAGGAGGTTCACAGCTTCATGAATCTCCTTGACAACTACCAGTCAGATGCCACAATGGAGGATGTGGGCGGCTGTGATAGCACCATCGACTCCCAAGCTGGACTCGATAGCCTCAATGCTATTCTACCGTCTGAATCTTCGCACGACCCCTGCTTCGGGCTACAGCATGCACCCCATGAAGCATCATTCGGGGTCGTGGAATCGTCATCAGAAGGTACAGAAGGTGAGTTGCTGTATATGCAGTCTTTCAAATTTCAATGCTTACCATGTACAGGCTTATTGCCCCATGGCGCCCACAGTTGTGCCGACTATGTAACTCAGCCTCAGCACAGCATGTACTCTGCAGGCATTCCGGCATTTCCTGACCCGCATGTCATGGAATCGTCATCAGATGGTGTGGATGCTCGCTTCGGTAAATTCGTTATCATTCACAACTTTGCATTGAAACACTCACAATGTATCCCTAGATCTACCGGTCCATGGCACCGTCCATGAGCCCGCTGCGAAACCCTTCCAGGGAATTCATTTCGAGGGAAATGCTCCATCGAGTTCTGCAGCCAGACCCGACGCGGAACTGTTTGTCCCCGCTGGGCAGGCTAGCCAAGCGAAGGTGAAATGCACCTGGGAGAGGTGCTCGGCACTCGTCAACAAGGATAATCTCACTCGTCACGTCAAAGAAGTGCACGAGGGGAAGATTAAGGCTGTTTGTGCGTACTGCGGAAAGGAGTTCAAGCGTCCGTACCAGATGAATGAGCATAGGCTTCGGACCGGATGTGGAATATCCTAGGACCTAGATTGTGATCTTGTATAACAAGGTCGTTAGACATTTGATGAAGTGATTCATTATGAACAAGATGGGATCTGGGGGTGTTCATGTTCACTTGCTACAAGGCCACCTTGGTGAACGAAAGTACGCCCTTGACTTCATTCGCTACTTCGAGGGAGGTCGAAAAAAATGTGTTTGGCGATGGTCATGCTGCACTTAAGCAAACTTTGGATAGTAGAATATGATCCATTTTCCAGGTCTCTATATAGTATAGCCCTCTACGTGAATATGGAAATTGTTGGGGAGAAGAAGAAGCATGGCTGCACCGACAAGAAAAACGTCGACCAGTCGGCTCCCGGGCCCCAATACTTAATAGGATTGTTCGGGTGCCTAGATATATACCCTGTCACCGGCATGTCCGGATCCCGGGTCATGTGTGCCTATGTTGTTCCTAAGTTATGGTTCCACGACTACACCTCCCATTGGAGGTGAGTACGCCAATGACGAGCAAGCGGAAACTCAGCGGCATTTATTCGCATTGCCTTGTCCGTGCCTTTCAAGTTCTTTGTATTAATTTTTGCTCACAACTTCGCACAGATTCATTGAAACTAGCGGAGCGCATGCGTGCGTTGAAAACAGCTTCCTCTACATTTCAGCGTGCCTTAAGGGGTGCGTGTGTTGAAACATCGGTCAGGCAGATTTAACACATATTACAGTGACCTATCTCCGTATAATACGAGGGAACGAACATGCATAATATCCCGTATGATACGGGCCAGCGGACCATGGGCCCATGATAAAAATATCCTCGACTATGACGGATGGGCCGGGAGGCAAATTATTCCCGATGGAGGCGGGTGGGCCCATGCAGGGAATATATAGAGTAGATGAGTGGGCCGATGTATATGAATATTAGGTAGACGGGTGGGCCGAGGTAGTTGGATATTATGCAGATGGGTGTATTAAGGTAGATGTGTATGAGATAGATGGGTAGGTACTTGTTATCACATTCACGGGTGGGCCCAGACACATATTAAATTAGACGGGTGGGCCGAGGGTATTATAAAATATTGTATTAGACGGGTAGGCCCAGACACATATTAATTAGACGGGTGGGCCGAGGGTGTTGTATGGGATGTTGTATTAGATGGGTGGGCCGAGGGTGGTATAAAATATAGATGGGTGGGCCCATGTGTATCATAATTGTAGACATGATGGAGCTGAGGTAGTTGTACATCAACCAAATCAGAGGAGGTAATAAATCAAAGTTACCGAGTTCCTGGAGCAGCAGGTGATCTCCTGACATGGCCTTTGATGGTGCACAGGTTGTCTTGCAGAATTTGGAATCCGGGGTGCAAAGCTTGTGAGACACCAAGTTCCGACCACCCAAATTTGGGTCAACCGTACCGACTTCTGAGTTCCAGGACCCGGGAGTCGACAAATGAATATCTGATAACCAGCACACTTCCAATCAGGTAGTATTTCATTGAGCAATGGATCATCCAAGGGGTCCCTTATCGGACTCGGTAGTCAATATAGGCAAATGATAATGAAAACATGAAAGTTGTTATTATGCTATTTTTCAAACCCGAGACCCTGAAACCCATTGTTCAACATGTCCATTTTTCACTCACTGCACAAATCACCGAGTTTCGAGTGCTGAAACCCAAAACTCAAAACCCGGTGTGCAACACATCGATTGTTCATTTACATTACACAGATCATCGAGTTCCGAGTGTTGAGCGCCGAAACCCGAAAATATGTATGGAACATGTCCATTTCTTACTCATTGCACATATCACCGAGTTTCGAGTGCCGAAACACGAAACTCGAAACCCAGTGTGCATCATGTCCATTGTTCAATTATATTACACAAGTCATCGAGTTCCGGGTTCCGAGGGACGAAATCCAAACCCCGGACCCCGAAAATATGTGCGCAACATGTCCATTTTTCACTCACTGCACAAATCACTGAGTTTCGAGTGCCAAAGCATGAAACTTGAAACCCAGTGTGCAACATGTTGATTTTTCATTTATATCACACAAATAACCAAGTGCCAAGTGCCAAGTGCCGAAACCCGAAGCCCGAGACCCGAAAATATGTATGCAACATTTCCATTTTTCACCTGTTGCACAAATCACTGAGTTTCAAGTGCCGAAACCCGAAACTCAAAACCGGGTGTGCAATATGTTCATTGTTCATTTACATTACACAGATCATCGAGTTCCGAGTGCCGAGTGCCGAAACCCGAAGCCCGAGACCCGAAAATATGTACACAACATGTCCATTTTTCACTCACTGCACAAATCACCGAGTTTCGAGTGCCAAAGCGTGAAACTTGAAACCCAGTGTGCAACATGTTGATTTTTCATTTATATCACACAAATCATCGAGTTCCGAGTGCCGAGGGCCGAGACCCGAACCCTGAACCCCAAACCCCAAAAATATGTATGCAACATGTCCATTTTTCACTTGTTGCACAAATCACCGAGTTTCAAGTGCCAAAACCCAAAACCCAAAACTCAAAACTCAAAACCGGGTGTGCAACATGTCCATTTTTCAATTATATTACACAAGTCATTGAGTTCCGAGGGCCGAGGGCCGAAACCCGAACCCCGAACCCCGAAAATATGTACACAACATGTCCATTTTTCACTCATTGCACAAATCACCAGAGTGTCGAGTGTCGAAACCTGAAACCCGGTACTTCAAATGGACACGAATTGTATTTGTATGTATTATCCATTGGTGTAGGGTTCAAATAACTTGGGAATTGTATTTGTCAGCACTCGGTACTCGGTACTCATGATGGTGGTCAGTGGTCGGTACTCGAGACTCAGTAGTCAATATAGGCAAATGATAATGAAAAATGACAGTTGTAGTCCACGTCAAGGTGAGTGTCTTGGTAGTCTTTCCTTGTCATTCGGCAAAACATCAGCAATAATGAAAAAATGAAAGTTGTTATTATGCTTAACTTCCTTACCGAAGGTTGTAGTCCAAGTCCAGGTGAGTGTAGTGATAGTCTTTTCTTGTCAATTGGTTATCTTGTTACTCATTACGCAGTACTCGGTACATGGTAATTGGTACTCAGTATTTGGTTTTGATACTCGGTACCCGGGAATCAGTAGTCAGCTTAATGAAGGTTGTAGTCCGAGTCTAGGTGAGTTTATTTGTAGTCTTTTCTCGTCCATTGGTTACCATGTGACCGAGATATAAGCTAAAGAAATCCGAAACATCAATAATGACAAATGAAATACATGTGTGCAGTAAGTGAGTCTAAAGATAAAAGAATGAATATTAATAGCGAGACTTGCACATTATGTCGAGATATCCAACATAACAAGCCTGTGATGTGATCAGAGACCTGGAATAACACCCATATACATCCATTATAATAGCTTAAAAGCTTAGAAAGATTCATGAAGGATTGATGTAATGATAGGCAAAATGACATATGTGTGGAGAGTGACAATAGACATCTTTTATACAAAGTCACATTTATATATGATTCAGGCCAAAAATATCATTACAAATATGTAGGATAGATCGTAAACTACCCAAGGAACCCATACTGCCTACTGCCCTGAGGGTAGGGGGTGGGTAGAAGGGATATAGTGAAAATATGAGTTGACCCAGCATTAAAGTCCTACCACTGCTCAACTAACCATTTTCGATGCTTTGGGTCTTTGAAGTTTCCCACACTCAATTTCTTACCCATTTCACTTCCTCAGTACTCAATTCTTGGTTGATTTGTCTGTAAATTTATGTCTATGATACTTAAGATATTTGAAATGTACCCCAGGTTTCTGATTATGAAGATTCAATGTTTTGAAGGCATGGGCCCCTTATCAGGCGAAATGGCAAGTATACACACTAGCTCACAAACTCCAGCCTATTGTGAGCTGATCTTGGTCATAAGAAGCAAGAATATAAGCTATGCTCATTATATATTAAAAGGTTGGATCATGGATGCAAGGGCAAGATACTGAAAATCGTGAAAAAATGTCACAAGTGCAATTGTCTATGCTTTGTTCCTGGAAAAGGATCCTGTGTGTCCTGGGCTGGTTATATGATATATCTACTCCGAATATGCTCAGGAATAGACTCCCTACAGTCCTTGAGGTCCAGTCCTACAGGGAAAAAACCCCAGCAGGTGAACCACCAGAAGAGGGGGAGGTACACTATACAATAAAGGATTACCCTATGGTCCTGAGCTCCTGATACATTGTTTCTATTGTTGAATAGATGATTGAGATATAACTATTCACCTAGAAATGAACACATAGGAACATATTTTGTATTTTTATGTATATATGCAATATCCATTAAGCACCAAGTCTCAACTACCGATTACCAAGTCCCGACACTTGATAGTTGATAGTCAGTATTCGAGCTCCGAGTGCCAATATTGCCTACCAATATCTCAGTCAAATGATAACCAAACCAAGACCCAAGTTCCAAACCTGACTACTGAATACCAAGTATCAGTACTGGGACTCGGGACTATTGGCTGGAGTACCCAACTATTGATTCACAGGTACCGAGAATTAGAACCAAGTACTGAGTACCTGACTACTGATTCTCGGGTACCAAGTATCAGAACCGAGTACCGAGTACCACTACTGATTCTCGGGTATGAGTATCAGAACCAAATACCAAGTACTGATTCCCTTGTACCGAGTACCGAGTAACGAGATAACCAATTGACAAGAAAAAACTACCAATACACTCACCTTGGCTCGGACTACAACTTTTGTTCAGGAACTTAAACATAATAATAACTTTCATTTTTCATTATTGCCGATGTTTCAGATTTCTTTAGCTTATATCTCGGTTAAATGATAACTGATGGACAAGAAAAGACTACCAATACACTCCCCTAGACTCGGACTACAACCTTCGGTAAGGAAGTTAAGCGTAATAACAACTTTCATTTTTCATTACCATTTGCCTATATTGACTACCGACCAGTGGCTGAGTGCCGAAGCTTGAAACTTGAAATCGGTGGAAAATGAAATCTCGCAACAATGTACACATGAACATGTTTCATTTCCATAAACAATTCCCCGAGTGTCATGTACCGAGCCCCGAAACCCAAAGCCTGAAGCCCGGACTGTGTTGTCAGGTTAGTACAAGACACTCGGTGAATTGTCAAAGGAAATGAAACATTTTCATGTGTACATTGTCGCGAGATTTTGTTTTCCACTGATTTCAAGTTCCAAGCTTCAGCACTCAGCATCCGGCACTCGGAACTCGGAACTCGGCACTCGGAACTCAGAACTCAGTGAAATGTCTAAGGAAATAGAAATTTCACAATTCCCTGAGTTAGTACAAGACACTCAGTGAATTGTCAAAGGAAATAAAACATTTTCATGTGTACATTGTTGCAAGATTTCGTTTTCCACTGATTTCAAGTTTTGAGCTTCAGCACTCGGCACTCGGAGCTCGGCGCTCGGAACTCGGAATTCGGCGCCCGGACTCGGAACTCAGTGAAATGTCCAAGGAAATAGAAATTTCACAATTCCCCGAGTGTCGTGTACCGAGCCCTGAAGCCTGAAGCCCAGACTGTGTTGTCAGGTTAGTACAAGACACTCGGTGAATTGTCAAAGGAAATGAAACATCTTCATGTGTACATTGTTGCGAGATTTCATTTTCCACTGATTTCAAGTTTCAAGCTTCAGCACTAACCGGAACTCGGGACTCGATTTTTGAGATGAAAGACATTTTTCAAACATGTTTGAATCAACCTTTCGTGTATCCATAAACATTTTACCAACTCCCGAACCCCGAAATTGTGGACTGCTGGGTCCCGGGTTTCGGGGTTCGGGGGTCCCGGAACTCGGAACTCGGTATGTGAGACAACAAAAATATATTTCAAACACAGGTAAGTCAATGTGTTTGTCAATCAACTTGATTGTAAATTATATTTTATTGATCTCCCCAAATTTCCCAAGTTCCGAGTTCCGAGCTCCGGGACCCCCGAACCCCGAAACCCGACACCCGGCAGTCCACAATTTCGGGGTTCGGGAGTTGGTAAAATGTGTATGGATAGATGAAAGGTTAATTTAAATATTTTTGAAAGATGTCCCATATGAAATGTCAAGTCCCAAGTTTCAATTTCCGGGTTTCTGGAAGGCCGAGTCCCGAAGCCCGAAGTCCTGAAACCCGGAGTTCAAAACTCGGGACTTAACATTTCATATGGGACATCTTTCAAAAATGTTTAAATCAACCTTTCATCTATCCATACACATTTTACCAACTCCTGAACCCCGAAATTGTGGACTGTCGGGTTTCGGGGTTCGGGGGTCCCAGAGCTCGGAACTCGGAACTTGGGAAATTAATAAAATATAATTTACAATCGAGTTGATTGACAAACACATTGACTTACCCGTGTTTGAAATATATTTTTGTTGTCTCACATACCGAGTTCCGAGTTCCGGGACCCCCGAACCCCGAAACCCAACACCCGGCAGTCCACAATTTCGGGGTTCGGGGGTTGGTAAATCTCGGTTTGGAGTTTTGCACTGAAAATTTGACATTTATACGTATCTAGGCTCACCCATATATGTACCCATCTATGTACAATTCCCCCACATCAGCCCACCCATCTATGTATTATCCCCCACGTCGGCCCACCCGTCTATGTAATACATCCTATGTTGGCCCACCCGTCTATATAATTATACCCCATCTTGGCCCACCTGTCTATGTAATAAATATTTTATCACACCCTCGGCCCACCCGTCTATTTGATATCCCTTTCGTCGGCCCACCCATATATGTAATACTTTTTATGTCGGCCCACCTGTATATGTAATACACCCCGCGTCAGCCCACCCATCTATGTAATATTCCCCTACCTCGGCCCACCCATATATGTAATACACCCCTGTCGGCCCGCCCGTCTATATAACAATATTTGCCTTACATCTCTCTTCAGCCCAGCTGTCTATAATATCCTACTCTACATATTACCCTGATGGGCCCACCCATCTCCATGAATGATCATATTCCCCTGGCCCATCCGTCAACATCAAGGATATATATATCATTGGCATACATGGGCCCACCCGTCTCCATCGGAAATACTATGTGTCCTGGCCCATCCATCATCATCGAGAATATACACAACATGGGCCCATAATCCGCTGGCCCGTCTCATATGGGATATTATGTAGGTCGGGTGGCCCGTATAATACGGAATTTGTCACTGAAGGGGCTCAATCTGCTGTACTTGCTAGACAAGTGCGTTCGACCCGAGGGGTTAGCTACTATCTGATATTAGTCTGAAGGTAGTGAAATGATAAGCGATCAAAAGTCCGAGTGTGGGAAACAAAGTCCGAAGGTATAATCACAAGTCCGATGCCAAAGTGTCGGGTCCGATGTTTTCAGGTTAGCGGACTAGCGGGTTTCGGGTGCGGGTTCAGTGGACTATGGAGAATAGTGGTAGTGAATGTTGGGAAAGTGAGCGGTATGCGGAATATATTGATAATGACAGGTATTTCAGATAGAAAGAGCAGTAATATTTGCAATGTCAACTAAGAACTACGGAATATTGGGTTTGGCCACAAAGCGTCAGGAAACAGCTCCCTACTACTTGGATGATGAATAAGGCTTGAGGTCAGTCCAATATATATATAAGTATGTAGAAATGCGGAACCTGTAGGCGAAAGTAGCTGCGGAATATTTCAGGTCTGATGTACATGTAAACAAACACGAGGCGCTGCGGACTATGGGAACACATGTAATAGCACTTGCTGCAACATGAGTAATGTGCAAAATAATGAACTATGCACCTAGTGGGGCTAGCAAGACAGGATGAGACACGGATAGGACAAGTGCACGGGAAAATGTTGGGTCTGATGTGGCTGAAACATCGGGTCTGCTAGTCAAAATGTTGGGTCCGAAATGTCAAAGTGTCGGATTGAACGGGAAGCGATTATTGTGTGATGTGAATCATGAAATAACTGAATACAAGCATAGCGCAAGCTCGAGTGCTACAACAGGCCAATGGACCATGGGCCAATGTTAGAAATATCATCGACTATGATGGATGGGCCAGGAGGAATATTATTTCTGATGGAGGCGGGTGGGCCCATGTGGGGAATATGTAGAGTAGATGAGTGGGCCGATGGACATGGATATTCTATAGATGGATGGGCCAAGGTAGTTGGATATATGTAGATGGGTGTACCAAGGTAGGTGGGTATCAGATAGACGGGTATGCTGAGGGTACTTGTTATCACATACACGGGCGGGCCCAGATATATTGTATTAGATGGGTGGGCTGAGGTTGTTATATTATATATTATATTAGACGGGTGGGCCCACATATTACAGTGACCTATCTCCATATAATACGAGGGAATGGACGTGCATAATATCCCGTATGATACGGGCCAGTGGATCATGGGCCCATGATAAAAATATCCTCGACTATGACGGATGGGCCGGGAGGAAAATTATTCCTGATGGAGGTGGGTGGGCCCATGCAGGGAGTATATAGAGTAGATGAGTGGGCCGATGTACATGAATATTAGGTAGACGGGTGGGCCGAGGTAGTTGGATATTATGCAGATGGGTGTATTAAGGTAGATGTGTATGAGATAGATGGGTAGGTACTTGTTATTACATTCACGGGTGGGCCCAGACACATATTAAATTAGACGGGTGGGCCCAGACGCATATTAATTAGATGGGTGGGCCGAGAGTGTTTTATACAATATTTCATTAGACAGGTGGGCCGAGGGTGGTATAAAATATAGACGGGTGGGCCCATGTGTATCATAATTGTAGACATGATGGAGCTGAGGTAGTTGTACATCAACCAAATCAGAGGAGGTAATAAATCAAAGTTACCGAGTTCCCAGAGCAGCAGGTGATCTCTTGACATGGCCTTTGATGGTGCACAGGTTGTCTTGCAGAATGGGGAATACGGGGTGCAAGGCTTGTGTTGCCCTACGAGAAGCCAAGTTCCAACCACCGAAATTCTCCGAGTTCCGAGTTCTGGGACCCGGGACTCAACACATAATTTAGTTAATACTTTCCGTGTTAAATGGCCAACCGAAGTTGAGATGTTTCTGAAGAGAGCAGCAGGTGCTCTCTTGACATGGCCTTTGATGGCACGTAGGTTGTCTTGCAGAATGTGGAATCCCGGGTGCGAGGCTTGTGTTGCCCTATGAGAAGCCAAGTTCTGACCACCAAAATTTGAGTCAACCGTACCGAGTTCCAAGTTCCGGGACCCGGGAGTCAACAAATGAATATCTGATATCCAGCACACTTCCAATCAGGTAGTATTTCATTGAGCAATGGATAATACATCTTTGACAGCCAAAATTATCCAGGCTCCCTTATCTGATCCTCACTATCTCCACCCCCTTTAACACCAAAGTCTGGACATCCAGCATTCAGCGTCTGATTTCCCAAGATCAACATCCAGCATGAACATCTCTTCCCCTTCCACTCCTGATAGCATAAACATCTGGCACACTTGGGCCCTGACTGTCACTTATGAAGCAGGGGAATATACCGAACAGAAATTCAAGGCAGAGAAGACTGGAGGAGACCCAGTCATACCTTCTCCCAACCTAGACACTGATCTGGTAATGACGTGTGATCGCTTGGTTGATGTACTCATAAAGGCATATAGAAATCCCAGTGGGTCTTCCTGCAGATTCGAAAATTCATTTTATCATTCAAATTCCTGCATGACAGTTCAGATGCAGATGGATATTGCAAGATATAGCAATTGATCTCCCCGAAGGACACCGGGCATAATGAACAGAGAGAGGCTAGGTTGCTTGAGAGGTGTCCTCCTGGCCATGAAGGCAAAAGGTTGGTGACGAACCTGCCACAATTCTCGATGCATCCAGTGCCATCATGAATGGTACCTCCCAGACGCCCTGACCGACACCACCCAGGTGTGTAATATACATTGTTACTCAATGGATATTGAATATCAAATGGAACCTACAGAAGGAAATCAGGGAGGCCACCGATTTGCTCGCTCCAAGCCTCGAAAAAAGTGTAAGGGCTGATGGCAATTGGCAAACTAATCAAAAGTGGTTCAACCGGGGCTCGGAAGATGTTGGGGCAACTCCCGGATGCATCAATTTATCTCCAGCATGGTTTCAACAGGGACATGAGGTAGGATCTGATGAGATGGTGATTCCGGCAGTCATACTCACCAATCCCAAAGAATGTGTCGATCCGGAGGTATCTGCATCATTGAAGGGACCTTCCTGCGAGAATATCCTCAAAGCCATTGCAAGGCCAGCAGCCATCGCGTCGCGGCACTCAGAGTCATGCATCCTGAGCAGTACTGGGCAGGGTTGCGAACCTTGTCAAACCTCGGACATATAGCAGTAAGCAAGGATCTGCCACAGATGCCAGAGGCCCTGCAGTACTGGGCATCGGTGTTTAACACCCTCTCCATCATTTCCAATCGGGAAACCCCAATCATCGAGACCATTTGTCCATTGCTGAATGCTTCGACATTCTCACCACCGTGGGGAACTATTCTAATGCTCGGATGACAATGCCAAGCCTTCAGCTGGAGTTCAAGTACAATTCCGGCTGTATGATTGCGTTTTCCGGAAGGATTGTGAGACATGGAGTTTATGATGTGGAAGGGGATCAGATTGCTTGGGCATGGTATATGAGGGATTCTGTTCACATTTACGCTGGTGTTCCATCATGTGGATGGGCTAGTGTGGATGGTCCATACAGTGTGTGAAAGATCACAAAGAGCATGCATTGTGACCTATATACATTCCAACAAATGAATACCATGTACCAATAGTTATCTGGACCTCAATACTCAATTTTGAGCATTTGCGAAGTGATATATGGGACTGAATAATTTGGATGCGAGCCTCGGTATTCGATAATTGGAACTCGGGACTTGACATATGGGAGTCCCGAGTGCCAGGGTACTGAGTCCCGAGACCCGGACCTCAGCACTTGATATTTGAGACTGGGGGAAGATGTATCAATATGCTCAAATTAACATTTGTTATTGCCGTACACATTTGACAAAACCCTGAACCCCGACATTGTGAACTCGGGACTCGACACTGTTCTGAATACCGAGTCCCGGAAGCCCAGGTCCCGAGTCCCGAATTTCGGAGTTCGGGGTTCGGCGACCCGGAGCTGGCAACTGTGTTGGGTGTCAGGGTATGCGGAGCATTGGAGATAGCATGTGTCAGTATTTTGCGTTTCATGGTTCATGTTTGGCTGACACATGCGATCTCCAATGTTCGGATACCCTGACACCCAACACAGTTGCCGAGCTCCGGGTCCGAACCCCGACTCCGAAATTCAGGACTCAGGACCTGGGTTTCGGGACTCGGGACTCGGAGCTCGTGACCTGGGACTCGACAGTGTTCTGAATACCGAGTCCCTGACGCCCGATTCCATAATCACGAAAGATGAACCATGAAACGCAGAATACTGACACATGCTATCTCCAATGCTCCGGATACCCTGACACCCAACACAGTTGCCGAGCTCCGGGTCCCGAGTCCCGAAACCCGAGTCCCGAATTTCGGAGTTCGGGGTTCGGTGACCCGGAGCTCGGCAACTGTGTTGGGTGTCAGGGTATCCGGAGCATTGGAGATAGCATGTGTCAGTATTCTGCGTTTCATGGTTCATCTTTCGTGATTATGGAATCGGGCGTCAGGGACTCGGTATTCAGAACACTGTCGAGTCCCAGGTCACGAGCTCCGAGTCCCGAGTCCCGAAACCCAGGTCCGAGTCCTGAATTTCGGAGTTCGGGGTTCGGTGACGGAGCTCGGCAACTGTGTTGGGTGTCAGGGTATCCTGACATTGGAGATCGCATGTGTCAGCCAAACATGAACCATGAAACGCAAAATACTGACACATGCTATCTCCAATGCTCCGCATACCCTGACACCCAACACAGTTGCCGAGCTCCGGGTCGCCGAACCCCGAACTCCGAAATTCGGACTCGGGACCTGGGCTTCCGGGACTCGGATGCAAGATTTTTGAATGCATAGAATATTTTACATCTTGTATACAATGAACACTGAATGGGACTACACTCCTTTGCCTTTCCTCAATTTCTCTAACATGTCAGTGTACATCTTCACCTCTGCCATCTTGGCTTTGATGCCCCATCTTGCTCC